CAGTGTTGGAGAAGCTGAAACCCTCATGAGTATAAAGTCTTCTTTCCACTGAATGGAAAGCCACTGAGTTCCAAAAGCTGTTCACTGTAACTTCAAAGAAAGTAACACAAAGTTAAAAATAAAATGATAGGGAGATAGTAATGTTAACTATTTCCGAATCAATTATTTTAGCATGTATACATGATTTGAATTGTCACACTTTATCCCATAAATATGCAGAATTATGTTTCATTTAAAGTAGTAAAATAAAATCTTCAAACATAAGAAAAGGAGTTTAACTATGATTATTAATATGGTTTAACTATTCACTTTGGTGAATACAAAGTAAATTATCCATTAAATTCAAATAAAAATTAGTATAAATAACTATTGCATACAACAGAAAGTACTTTCTAAATGACCCTGTATTCTAGGGTTTCTACTTGAAGGACAGAAGGTACTAGAGTAAATTGGTCATCCCATCACAAAATAAGAACACAGAAGTGCACTCTGTCAGTAGGAATCATCTGATGCTGCATCTCACAAAACAAGCTTTAAAATTAGGCAAAATTCACTTCTCTGCATTTATTTTAGTAATAGTGAAGCATGGTGTCTTGACTCCTCTTCCAGGTAGATACAGCATATCTGCCCCATAAACGAAATGGTTCTCTGTCTCCCTGCACCTTCGTACTTCTTGTGGACTGCCGTGCAGTCGGTAACTTTCTCTTTGGCTGAAGAGAGAAAATTTCAAGAAAAACAACCAAGTATTCATTCATTCAACCCCTCTTCTGATTGTAAGGGTCTATGATGGCTGATAGTTGATAGAATAGGCTAAATTCATTTAAGACATATTTGGGAACAACTATAAATATTTATAAGGAAGTATCTGATCAGGATCTCCCCATAGCCCCAGATAGCCTGGAACTCACTATATAGACCAGAGTGGACTACATCTGCCTGCTTCTACCTCCTGAGTGAGCTGGGATTAAAGGCCTGTGCCATCATGCCCAGCTTATACAAGGCATTTTAGATAGAAAGAAGAATTTAAAAATAATGCCCGCCAGTTTACTTGAGGAAGTATAGTCTATGTAATTCAATCTTAATTAGAAATAGAAACAAAAATAATGTAGCTATTGATTGGGACAAGTAGGTAATCACGGTTGTTACCTTCTAAGTGATTATATCACTTTTTCCATTTACATGATACACCTAAATTATAAAAGGACTGTGAAAACATGCCCAAGAAAGGATACAGTTAAGAAATCTGTGATTCAAAGCCAAATGTGATGGTGCATGTCTATAACCTCAGCACTCTGCAGGTGGAGGCAGGAGGATATCTGTGTGTTTGGGACCACTCTGGAACACATGATGAGTTCTAGACTAACCTGAGCTATGCAATGAGACCCTATCTAAAAATAAATGAATAAATAAATAAACACCCGTGTTTTGGAAAATAATGAAAGGCTACATGGAGGCTGAGGGGATGTTTTGGTCTGACATGTACTTTGGGTATTACTGGGCCTCAAGCTGACTACAGCTCCAACCCGTGCCACACAGAGCAGAAAAACCACTCAGCTGAACTCAGTAAACCTGCCGCATAGTGGGGTTTCGTAAGCTATTCCAGGGCAGTTTTTTCCACAGCAATATACATAACTGAAATAACTTTCCCCAAAGAGTAATGGAACTTATACTGTGGGAGATTTCACTTAGACTATAAACATAATCTTTAAATGGCCTATGTTTGATCCTTACAACTTAATTTTTGAAAGTCACTTGTCAAAATTTTAGAAGGCTTTTATTTTAGAAACTAAGCATGTTTTTAAGCTTGCTTATATTAAAATACAATTCTATTTCAAGGATATATATATATATTCTGCTTCTCCTATTGAACTAATATATGACAAATATACAATAGCCATGTTATTTTGATTAAAAAGAAAAGAAATGTTTTTTAGTAGAAATAACATGACTCAGGCCTTCTTAAAATCTTGGCCCTATCATTTACTTTTTAAGGCATGGCTAAATTACCTGAGTTCCCAGCCTCTTTATTTTCAAGGCAATATGAACTTTAGAGGATTAGTGAAGATCAGAAATAATATGTGTTATGATCTTGAAAGTTCCTGGCACATAGGTGAGGCTCAATAAACATAGCTTTCATTATTAAGACAGAGGTAATTACAGGGTTTTTAAAAGGTAGTAAATTTTTTTCTCATTTCATGTTTCTAAGAGGACATGGAAATATGGGTGTCCCTGGGTTTTATTAGGGTGGAACTTCCAGGGTTAACAATGATGTATCCTTGAAACCCTTCCTACCAGCGTGCATGTGGAATCCAAAGGAAGCTCTGACCTCAGCCCCAAGCACACTGTCTTCCTCACACTTTTGTTGCTGTAGATGATTCGATGGCTGGATAAAGGAAGCTTCTGGCACCTTGTCCCCAGGGTGGAAGTAATGGAGAATTCCTTTTACTCTTCTGTCCTCCCTGTCCCAATTACATTCATTTTCTAATTTAATAGAAAAAGAAATGCATAGGAAGCTGGATTTCTGCAAGCCGATCCATAAAGTTCATGAAATACATTTCCAAGGAGGAAACATAGATGTTCTGAAGTCTGGTTTGTACCAGCGGAGGCAAGGAACAATTGTAGTGGCCCTAGGTGTCTGTCTCTGGTGTTTCATGCTTTGTTCTGGACTTCTGTAACGTGCTGCTTTCTTTGTTATTCACAAGAGTTTTTATTAAGAAAGCTAGAGAAGCACCCAATAGCCTTTTTTTCTTCTTTTTGTCTGTTCTTCCTGACTAAAGTAAGGCATGTAATTGCCACTGATGAAAGCTAATGAATATTTTTCAGAGCTGTGCATTACTCTTCTTGGTATTTTCTTATACCTACCAGACTTGGAGCTACCTGAATTCCATTTTGGTTCTTTGAAATTTAACTAACCTTGGCCATGGGTAAACTCCAATGTATTATATTTGAATGTAATACTTGTTTGAAAAATTAAGCATATTTAAACTGGTAATTCTTGATGGAATTATGATTGCTCTAATTGGGCATATCCACGTACTAATGATTTTTGAATATTTACATGACTGTTGATTATAAAAATCATAATTAGTAAGTGCTTTAGTAGAGATTTCCTGTACTACAGAATTTCATGTGTATCACCAAAATCTTCAAGAGAGTTCTTATTGCTCTAACATCAAGTAGATTAAGATAGAAAACAAGCATAAAAATGAATGAAAAATACTGGATACTGGTGGATATACATGTACGCTATGTAGATGTGAACTTCGGCTGACTCATTTTTCCTTTGAGCTTGTCATAATCATGGTTACAATTATGCAGATTAGGTCAGGCTTTGTTGTTGTTAGTGAAGGGCCTGAAAATACAGTTTAAGATATTAATATCCTTTGAATCATTTATAATTATGGAGTAATTTCATCTTGAAGGAAATGGTAATATTCTTACCCCCTGACGTCTGAGGCTTAAATGTATTCCAAAGCAGTAGAGATTGTACTCATGAGATAAAATGTGCTTAACTTGGATTTTATCAAGAATTGAGTGCTCCATTTTACTGCTTCTGGGACTCCGTGTGATAGTTATGTAGTATAGATTCAGAAAGCATTTTTAAGACTCCTGTTGACATAGGTGAGTAGTGTGGTTCCGAAACCATTCAGTTGTGCAGCCTCAGTAAACTGTGGGCTGAAGGCTCAGATGCACAGAGCAAGCACTGACAAGTCACAGGGTGTTCTCAGGAGCCTGTGCCCTCTCGTAAGGACAGTGTCTTCCATTTCTTTGAGTCTTTTAAGGACTGCTGTTTTAAAAGAAAAAAAAAAAATCAGCATGGAAGCTCTCTGTGAGTTCAAGCTACTAAAACCTAACCCACAAGGCACTCTCTTATAGAAAACTCTTCTAATACTTGCAGTGTGGTTATAGCTGAGGACATGTGGTATATATTACAGTGTCCAGGGAATTCAAACCTCTGCAGTGTGGAGACAGTATGAAAGGCTAATTTGAAAACGAAGTGCACGTCCCTGCTCCTCTTGTAGCTCTGTGACTTCCCAGTGTTTCCTGTTACTCTGGCATCAGTCCTGTCTGCTCTGCTCTGAGTGGGACAAGGGAATTGGAAGTGTAAAGAACAGCGATGTGGACATCTTCTCTTCTCCAGCGTCCTCCTCCCACTCCCAGCGAGCACCCCACATTTTCTCACTGGGCATTGCAAAGTCTTACAGAAGCCTTACAGAAAGGGCTAAGGCAGAGCTGTCCATGGTTAAAAAACAGTGTTCTAACCGCTGGTTGAAAATCAGGTAATAACAGTCCTGTAAGTGAACAAAACTTATTAGAGGGTTAGCTAGGGAAGGAATGCTATCTCTCAGCAGCAGGCAGGAAGAAATTGCTGTTGAAAAGCTTTACCTCTCTGGGGAGGAATCAGATATCAGAGTTTGCCAAGCCTCAGGTCCAACCCAGAAGGTCCCACCTACACCCCCCCAGCCCCCATCTCAGCCTTGTTAGAGTGCTAGCATCTTTCTCTGACTTTCTGACCCCACAGTGGGTGAAGGAAAGACAACCAGCAAAACTGAAAGCAAGCAAGGTGGGGTGTGGGTTTGGAGACTGGGGCTGCTTTAGTAGAAGGGAAATAAAAGACAGTGAAGGAAAGGCGTGGAGGCCAGGGGGCCCCGGTTTAACTGGTGCCTGCCTGCTTCTCTTTGATTTGATGGCCTTTATTCCTCCTAATTGGATAAAATAGGAAGTCACTGGCAGTCCTGTGTTGCTGAGTGTACTGTACTCATTTTACTGAGACCAGGCAGCTTAGAGTGGGGGCAGAGAGTGGGGGCAGGGAGAGAGAGAGAGGGAGAGAGAGAGAGAGAGAGAGAGAGAGAGAGAGAGAGAGAGAGAGAGAGACTCATTTGGAATGAAGAGGAAGGAAGACTACTGCAGAGGAAAGTGACTGAGCGCTCAAGAAGGACAAAGAGGAGTGGTTGGGGGTGGGGGTGGAGGCAGGGCGGGGAAGGGAGTTACCGCCCATCCTGGCTTCCCTCGCATCCCTGTGCGATGGTACTGTTTGCAGTGATGCTCAGAGGGCAGGCACCTGCTGCTCTGTAATGATTCAGCCTCTTTCAGCCGCTGCTGCTTTAACACGACAGGATGCTGTTGCTACTGTCGCTGCTGCCTCTCCTGCCTCCGCCGCTGCTGCCGCCACCGCCGCCGCTGGTCCTGCTTTTGCTTTTACTTCTCCAGCATGACAGTTGTTTTCTTCCTCTAAGCAGACACCAGCTTCAGACGCTTGAGGTGAGAAACATGCCTTTCAGTTTGGGCTACTGGTTTACTTAATTAACCAGCCGTCGGCCCAGCTTCCTATTTTTTTTTTGGCCCCTTTCTTCTTGACCAACCGGGATGGTTTGGAGAAGCATCTAAAAGAACTGGAAAAGTGGCCCAGAAACAGCTCAAGATATTTTGGTACACTTTTATTTGGTAGTTGCAAGAAGCCTTTTCTTTTTCTTTATTTCCTGCCTCCTCCTGAACTCTCTTACTTTTGATAATGGCTTCGGACTTGGATACCTGATCGATTTTCCCCTCCAAGATGCTGTATCATTTGGTTGGGGGGTGCTCTGCATGGTAATGGACTGTGAGAGAGACCAGGCCTTCTGGAGGTGAGCCGATGGAGATTTATTCCCCAGACATGTCTGAGGTAGCTGGCCAGAGGTCCTCCAGTCCCTCCACTCAGCTGAGTGCAGACCCATCTCTCGATGGGCTTCCGGCAGAGCACATGCCAGACACCCAGACAGAAGATGGGACAAACCCTGGACTGGTGGGCCTGGCGGTTCCCTGCTGCATGTGCCTAGAAGCCGAGCGCCTGAGAGGGTGCCTCAACTCAGAGAAAATCTGCATCGTTCCCATCCTGGCTTGCCTCCTCAGCCTCTGCCTCTGCATTGCTGGCCTAAAGTGGGTATTTGTGGACAAGATATTTGAATATGACTCTCCTACTCACCTGGACCCTGGGGGGTTAGGCCAGGATCCTGTTATTTCCCTGGATCCAACTGCTGCCTCAGCTGTTTTGGTATCATCTGCGGCATATCCTTCACCTGTCTCTAGGGCTCCATCTGGACCCGAGGTTCAAGTTACAGTGCAACTTGACAATGTCGTTGTAGCCTCTGAACCTTCGCAGGTACCTACCTGGAAGCATCATCTGCCTGCCTTTTCTTCCCTCCCATCTAATGCACCGCCCTTCCCTTCACCCACCGGGACCCCTGAGGTGAGAACGCCCAAGTCAGCAACTCAGCCACAAACAACAGAAAGTAGTCTCCAAACTGCTCCCAAACTTTGTAAGTAGAGAGAAAAAGAGAGAGATGGTGATGGTGGTGTGTAAAAGGAAGGGTGGGCTGGAGCTCCCAGTAGGTGCTCTCCAGAGGGTGAGCTGCTCCCTTTCCACTTGCATTTTGACTGCAAGGTTTTGTTTGATCAATCATGTGACTCTGATAGGTGGGGTGGCATTGAAGAGAAGAGTCAAAGAAAATCTTGCCAACTCTTAGGTTGCATCTAACAGCAGCTCCATCTGGCCAGATTGTTAAATCTGGGGTTGGTGATCAAAAACTATAGTACCTTCAGGTCGTGCTTGAATTTAAGTTAAATCCGATTTATCTTTGCGTGAGGAACTGACACCAGAATGTTCTTCATATTTTAGTAGGCATGTGGCTTCTGTATACCCCTGAGCTTTATTGGGCATCTTTCTTTTCTCCTTTCCCCTGTCTGCCTCCCTGCAGCCCCAAGCTGCCTGCTCACCTTCTCCGTCTCTTCGCCCTGTTCCCTTCCCACTTCTCCCTTTGTATGTCATTGTTTTGTCCAAATATTGCAGTAAGTCTTAAGACTTACAGAACTCCCCTGTTCTTAACTTCAGACTGTTGCTGTCCTGCCAGTTTCTACTTTTGATTACTGAGCCCTTATCAGAGGCAGCTTTATTTTGTTCAAGACAGACTGCAATGTCTCATGAAGGGATTTAACTGAATTAGTTTTGTCTTCCATAATCACGTTTAATAGCTTTGTTGCCAGTCGTTATACACTATGAGTCCTATTAGTAAGGTCCCTCTTTTGTTTCTTTTGTTTCGTTATTTGGACATGTGTCATTTTAACCCAGCAGGTTGCTCTAGTCTGGTCTAATAACATGTGAGGAAAGAGATGCCATGCTGTTAAAACAGTACAGTATGAACCACTGCTGTGGTCAGGGGTCATTACCATGGCTTTGTGACCGAACGTTGACAGCTATGAGGCCAGGTCTACTTGGATTCTTCCAAATCTCAGCATAGAACTTTGTCGTTACAACATTTTAAGAAATGTTTTCAGTTAATTTTGTTTCTATTTTCTATCACCTTTTATTTTTACAGTTGATAACTTATTTAGTAGAAAAAGTGAAAGGTGAGAGAATTTCTTACTAAAGCGTAAAATCTCCTAGTGCTGCAGGTAGTTAGTCTGTGATCTAATACTCCTTCAGTGTTCCCTCTAGACTGCAATGACAATAGAGAAGACCTCCCTCAGACATGCATGCTTAGAATGAAGGGGTGCAATGTGCTGCTGAAGTAGAAACACTGGGTATGTGCTTGTGAGTCAAAATCTTTGCAGTAGTTCTGGTGCTAAGATTTTAAGAGGAGGCTGGTTTTCCCAGGTTAATTAGGAAAGCCTCCCGTTCGCAGTCCTTGCTTTGCATCCTTATCAAATCCCTGAAGCGTCATTAAAGATCTGACAGACATCACCGATTTTGCTGCCCTTCCCACCTGGCAAAGTGACTGGGAAATAATACCCAGATGAAATGACAGGCTATAAAAAGCAAGTGCGGATCCTGCAGGAAGAGGCAGAATTCACCACGTAGACAAGGTTACTTCTTTGTCTGTACCCTTTTAAACTGAAATCTTTAGTTAAAATGTGCCAGCCTAGGTTAAGTTGGCCAGAAAAAGAAAGATAGCTCTTTGAAAACTTCCTCAGCCAACTTCTGTAATTTTGTCATCGGATGAAATCAGTCAGACAAAGAAACAGGCCACACATGTTCCTGATCTAGGACCCCATTACAAAGTACTCGGGAAGTTTTGAGAAATTGATTTGGAAGGGAAATTCTTCTACTAAGTGTTTTCATAGACTATATATTCCATTTTTTTTTCTTTTTTTCCTAGCCAGGGCATTGATTTTATGGCATTAGCAATAAGTGGAGAAGATTTACTGCTGCCTAAAAGCATCACAGAGGCCAACTCTGGCCGGGGCACAGCTGTGGCGTTGTCAAGTGCATTGGAGATAATGTCTGGGAAGTAGTTTTCTCTTGAAAAGTTAGGGGTAGACAGTTGTTTAAAGCTTTAAGGCCTCTAGGGTTTTCTATATTAAAAATTGTCAACATTTGGACTACTACCTAAAATAAAAGGTCAAAATTTGTAAGTCATCTTGGAGGATGTGTTTGAATAATCCAGGCATAATTTTTTTTCACACTCGTAATTGATTGTTTTCGTCATTGCTTAAAAGGGGGAGATCCTTAGAATGGGATCGTCATTTTGTAAGCGTTCGTTCTTTTCAGTTAAGAAAGTGCTGCTTAGCTCATCCTGAAGGCTTTAACATGAGCTGTGCTGCTAGGGCCTCCATTTCAAGTGACATTGCCATCTCTGAAATGTGCTTTCAAACGTGGTTTCAGGACTTTGCTCTCCCCTTTTCCGATTTCCTTCTGTCTCAGCATATTCAGCATATCATGCACAGAGCTGTGGCCTTCAAGGTCATAGTCTGTGAAGAGCTAATTGATTCTTCTTTATCCTGGAGCCTGAGAGAGTGGAGGACTGACAAACCCAGCCATCGCATCAGCTGTGCTAGTCCCCAGCCCAGCCTGGTATTAAGGTTGGATTTTCTAAATATTAGACTTGCTCCCTTCCTCAAGGACTCCTTCAAATTGACACACTCCCTCTCTTTGGTCATATAAAAGACAAAGCATAGTGTTTTGACGGCCTAGGTTTTCTAAAAATGAATTTTTAAAACATAATGCAGATTTTCACATTTTCAGCATATTATTCTAGGTATACATGCAGTTTTAAAGACACTAAATACAAGGCATTATTTCTCCAGAGTTTTCTTGTGAAGTTTTTCTGTGTGGTTTTTCTATCATCATCAACAAAGGTTATATTGTGATATTTGTTAAGTTTTGGGTTTTATAAAGTCACATAATATTTGAACCAGGTGTGTTTGTCTGTGTGTGTATTGCTCATGTGTGAACACAGGACTTTACATGCTCTAAACATGTGTTCTACAACTAGGCTATATCCCTAGTCCAAACCTCCATTTTCTTTTCCCTAGGCTTTAAAACTTTTTCTGGCCTCTCCTTATGTGAAAAGGATTGACTCTGAGGAAGTAGAAAGCTTAAATTACCAAAATAAAAGAGCTGGTTAATTAGATTTCAGCCAGGAAACTGTGGTGCCATCTTGAAAGAAAATGGTTTTTTGGATGGTGAATCCTGAGTGACAGCAGACTTTTGGACAGAAGAATATATTTTTTTTTATCTTAAGCCAAATTAATTTTGCTTTGTCTTAAATCTTTTTATTTGCTTACATGGCAAGCTATTGTTACCACAGGGACAATTTGAAAACCACCATCTGTGAAAGATCAGCATGCTGAGTTGATTATCCTAAAGAATTTCTTTCCTTTGATTTTGAAGTATCTTCATTTAATTCCATTGACCCTTCTCCTTTCCAATGACTACTTGAAGGTATTTTGGAGCAGTGATTTCTGATAGCTTTCTCTGCCTTATCCACACTTGTTTAATAATGAAGACAGTAAAAATTGCAAGACATTAACAGGTCCTTCATTTGAAGTCAGATAATGAAATGATGAATGAAATTATTTTTCTTAAGATTCACTAAGCTAAAATTCAGTGAAATCTAGAGCTACAGAAAATATCGTATACTGTACTGCAGGAATTAAGTAAGTTTGCACGTATGCATGTGCGTGCACACACATATATACACATACACACACAGACACAGACACACACACACACAAGCACAGGCACACAGTTTTCTCCTGTCATCTCACCCCTCTCCTAGAGAGGTAGAACTGGACACTAACTGCAGTGTTTAAGTGACATCTAGCAATGAAGCCTACTTCAGTCACCTACTTCAGCTGGGGACCATTCATCAAGATGGAGAATTCGCATTACTAAAATTGAGTTTTCCTCTCTTCTTGCTTTGCTTTTATTCACTTTCTGTCATGGTGATCTTTTCCCCTTATACTGGATCATCCATACAGTGTTCTGCTTGCTGCTGGCAACAGCTTGGGCTGGCCGGGGTGAGCTGTTTCCCAGCCCATGGCAGGAATGTGTGGCTCACCTCTTCTCTGCGTGTACCACTTTGACTTTTTCTACTTACTCCTTTGTGATACCCACATCAGCCTTCTTCCTCTTCCCCCTCCCCACCTTCTCTATTGTGGTTTGGATTTTTCTTATTGCTCTGCCTAGGACATTTGGTTGTATATGTCAAAATTTTTCTGGATTTTGGAGCATCACTACATGTCTTTTCATGTGCAACTTTATTGTGTTTTAATACTGAATGGTATTTACATATATTACAATAGAAAGCCAATGTCTCCAGCCAGTGAAAATGCATACCTGTTTCTCTTTGGAACAATCAACTTAAGCTTCTTTCCCTCTCCTTTGTCTTACCTTCTTTTCCCTCAAGTGGTGGAGACAGGCATCTCCACCTGTTCATTGATGTGTTCGTACCTATCACCAGGCACGCATTCCCAGAAAGTATTGATATCCCAAACCATGCACCTGAGTTTTTTCTCTTTTCTTTTTAACAACGCTTCATGTTGTATTCCCTTGAAACAGGAAGGAAGACATTTTATAGATGAAATAACCAAAGTATTTAAAAAAGTTTTGGCTTGTCTAGAAAGAAGCTCCTGGGAACTAGTGACATAACTCTTGTTCCCCGAGTCTGTTGATGTTTCTGGTAATCGTACACTACACCTCATCTACGTTTATGTTCACTTTTCCCATTTCTCATACTTTTGTTCCGTGTCAGCATTTCAGCTTTTTGTCTACGATCACTTTTTTGCTCTTCAGCAAATGCACATCAAGTGCCCACTATGTAGCCACCCTCACACATGTCTACTCTAGCTGTATGATAATGAGAACCTGTAGACCATTTTGCCCTCAGGAAGCTTGTGTTCCAGTGGATGTGAAGAATCTAATTGAATTACTCATCTTGGGCTACGTCTTTATTGTTTAATATACATGTATCATCTCAAGTCGGCCTTTCTCCTCTTGGTCTTCATTTTCACTGTTTAACTGCCACCTCTCTTCTTCATT